TGCTCTTGTCAGGATATTTTCAAGCGGTGCTCACAGATTGCACGGTAATTTGGCTTTTGAAATGGTATGAAATTGAGCATTGCACTTTAAATTCCAGTGGTCAAATTCAGAAGAGATTTGTAAAGTTATGGCTCAGCAATTGCAAATGATCAATTTTTCATAGCTTAATAACTGACTGCTTGTTTTTTGAATGATGGGAAGTGATCATATACACCCTTACCTCGGTTCTAATTGCAAAGTAAAAGAGGTTAATTTAAACCATGAAGGCAGTTTCGATCTGGATGTTTCACAGCAGCAGAAAAACTCAGAGCTATGGTGACTTTAAATCATTCGTTTTACTTCTCAGATGGAAAAGTTAAGCACAGATGTGGTCAGTTTGTGCTCATCAGCTGGTAAGAAATAACTTGCTAAGCCACGGAGCCCCAGTCGTTTGGGATAAACCACCATGTAAAGACAGATTGTAAGTGTGTACTGAGTCTAAAATTGAAGATGCTAGAAACTCTTCATTTAGATCTGTTTTAAAACAGCTCTCTGAATTTACCTAAGAATAACTACAAAATCATAGAGAAATTGTTATGTTTTGTTTTGCCTAGGGGAAAGGAAAGGCCAACTTGAGTAGAAAAGAAAACCTTTTCAAGCTTTTAAAACATTTACTAAAAATGCAAGTTTTCACTGCTTTGCCCAGTTCTCTCCTCAGGTGCATGTGAGCAGTGAATGTGACTGCCGGGCCTTTCCCTGCACCCCGCAAGGGCAGACCTGTAAACTGGCACATAGATAATGCCACATTTAATTTTGCCCTCAGCTCTTCTACGTTGTCTGTTGTAGCTGGTAGAAATGCCAGTCAAGGCATCAAGCAAGAGCAAAGACCATCCCTATGCCAAAGAGATCGTCTTGGCATCAAATGCAGTGCAACAGGTAGTGCAAATGGAAAGGCTGAGTGAATGGAAGTAAGAGAACAAAACGGAGATCAGCAGAAAAAAATGGTATTCTTGGCTCGTCGCTTCCCCGAGCAATGCCAGACAGCGGTGACACAGGGGATCGTGGCAGAAGTAGTCTTACGGAGGATTTAAAGGATAGTAAGGTGTCATTACTGAGGACTTCTGATGAAGGATAGACACGTGAATTCCTTAAGTCAATAGGACTTCTGTTGGCCTGTATCTTTGGGCTGAATGTGTCCCTTTCTGTGATCAGTTGAAAAAACCCTGCAAGTGCTGCATTTGATCGAGTCCATTGGGAGATAAATTCAGCGATGGGGAAGAAATGGGAGGCTTTTCGTAGAGAAAAAGAGAAAATTGCTTCATTTGCATAGGAATGTATCACAGCCGTACCCAGTGCAGAAAATGTTTCCTCCTGGGATAGCGTGGTTTAAAACCACAGCCATCCAGCTGCAAAATTGTTTCCAATTTAAGCTGACAGTGGCACACTGCATTTCTGGAGGGATGATGTTTTCAGCCTTGTGCCCAGCTACTGAAAACACCTGGTACAGCTGGTCTCCAGGATGTCATCTTCCACTTAAACGTAGAAGTTTGCTGTTTCTAAACTGAGAATATCTGAGCAATATTCCCGAACTGGGGAATTGTCCATCTAGATTTGCCAACCACAACCCACCTTGTTTGACATGACTGCTTGTTAGCTCCTATGGTACCATCTCCTGCCTCATCAGATAGCATATAAACATCCAACTCGGTGCTTTTCAATCATCATTTTGTCTTTGAGACACTTAGTTTGTAGCCGGTGCCACACTTCAGCGAGTCAGCTGTGTGTCCTGTGAATCTGGCATCGTAAATAGTCACAGATGGTCCAAGAGATCAGAAAATGCATATAAGATGATGTTGGGGGTGTCTGGTGTGCTTTTACAACACTCCTCATTTCCCAAGTACAAGCAGATTAGTTGTTCCTTTACCATGTTCGCTTTCAGTGCATTAGGCAGGAAAGATTGCTGCAGCTCTGGAGAAGTAACAAGGTAGGAAAAAAGGAGGGGTTTACCATGTTTAGTTGGCTAAATAAATTCTTTTGAATATGTGAGTTCTGGTTAATGTTGCTGCCACCAACTCTACATCCTACTCTAACCCTGAGGAGTTATACTTGAGATGCAGCATCAGGACATACCCCCGTTGCCGCGGTGTCTTGGCCAAGTGTGGTTTCTCCCGTTGTCTTCCATTCTCGCAACATCCTTTTTGCTGCTTCTCCTTTTAAAATACTCAACCAGTTTTCGCCTCTGTTTCTCTTGTGCATTCTTCGTAGCTAACAGGCAGCTAAGCTACAGGTCTACAAAATGTTAAGGGGCTAACGCCTGATCGGGCCTCCCGCTGTCCGGGTCTGTTGGAGTCAGGTGCCTAGGCATCCCCAGGAACGAATCCTTTTGTTTTCTTTTTCCTAACATCCACAGTTTCGGCATCTGATATTTTTGCACCCAGTTACCGGGCATTGCTCCTTTCTGCTGTGGCCCGTAGCATGTGATTGTAAGCAGCAAGGTGCTTTGCCCTCCCTTGTGCGCTCTCTTTGATACCATCTAGGAAAAAAAGAGAGAAATGCAGTAAACGTCTGATCTTTGGCACTGAGGGTTTCGTTTTGCTGCAAAAAAAATCCGAAGCAATGTTTTAGCGTAAGATTCAGAAGGTTTCAAAGAGGCATCAGTTAAACCTGCCTGCTCTGTGATAGCCAACAAGTGGATCTTTCAGATGTCTGAGTGTTCCCTGGAGGTTCACATTATTAATATCTGCCTTATGACAAGGCGGCTGTGCTGATGCCAGGGTTTGTTTTTTTTTCCCCCCCAGCCGGCATGATTAATTTTTCTTTCCTTTCTTAATATCTCTGAGCCAGATGCTTCTAAATGTCCTCATAGGGGTGTATTGCTGTTCTTAACCGCTCCTCCTCCCCCCCCCGCCCTTTCTGCCTAATTCCTATAATGGCTCCAGAGATGCGTTTTGTAGAGTCACAAAAAGCAAAACTTTGAAAGCCTCCTAAGGTGATGGACTTGACATGTGCAAATCTGGCCTCCTGACGTTCCTGGTGGGTTTGAAAGCTTAGTGCCAGGTAGTCTGTCAATAACGTTTTCCCATTTCAGAGTGTGCTCATTTGCCTAGCACTTTACAAATTATATCCGTGCAGAACTGCTGAAGTGCAAGTATTTCTGGTGGGGAGGATGACAGCGGGGTGTTGAACTGACATTTTGGAGAAAGCAAAGGAAGTTTTGGCCGAGGATAAGGAGGCACACTTGTATTATTTATGGCAAGTGCCGTGGCTCTTCAAGCGCTGATTTGTTTTAAAGGCTTCAAAACATTGCTGTACTGAAGCAGGTCTTTATTCTGCAAATAGAAATTAATTCTTCTTCAGAGCTCTTGTTCCAAAGTACAACTGCACAGGCTTGACTTTTACCAGCTCGGAGAGCAGAAGACCTTAGCAAATGGCTTGTTTCCAAGGCGATCATACTTCTGGCATATCTATCCTTCAGTTTCCTCCAGATAACAGATTTGTAGGTCTTCTGTATTTATCCTCAGCTGGTTTCAGTCGTTAGTGTATTCACCTGCATCTCAGGATTTTTCCTGGAGGAAGCAAAACCCAGAAACAGAATAGTTGGTGGGAAACAGATTAGGATTTAGTTGCTTATTTTTGTATGTGTTAATACTATATGTGAGAGGTAGATCAGTGAATTTAATGATGAAAGCCTTAATTTAAAGAAGCCTAGAAAATACTATTTCTTAATTTCTTACAGGGCAGGCTAAAATCTCCTTACCTCCATAAAGTTCTACTGTATTTTCTTTTTTTTTGCAATTTGACAGTGAGAAAAGGTGTAATACAAAGCAATGGATTTGCCGGTGCAAATAGAGCTATAATTGGGGGAATCAAGTGTTTACTTTCAGTCTCTCTTTTTGTGGGAAGATGAGGATACTAAGAATATCCTCAGAGTAAGGATACTCTTAGGAGTATCCTAATAGTAAGAGCAGGAGGGCTTCTACAGCATTCCTTTCCGTAATAGATAGCTGGTCATTTAGCTGTGCATCAGGCAGCCCTTTAGCCCACAGCAGCGTGGGAATTAAGTTAAAATTAACCTGAGTTTGGAAAACAACTAGCACCACTTTATTTGTCCATTTAATTGAATTATATGATGCTGTGTAAGTATGCTGACCCACAGACGTAAATTGCTCCACCCTACCCATTCCCCTCCTTAATTCTTTCATGCTAATGGAGCTGATGGGGATGTTGACTGCACGGAGAGAGGTGGGGGAAAAAAGGAAAAAAAAAAAAAGACTGGAAATAAAAAGAAACCGTTCCAGCCTCATGCAAACCTTCCCCTTCGGTGAAATGCTTCTGAGTATCACAGCTACACTAACTGCGCTGTGATCTTTGTTGCCATTAAGCTGATTATATCCGCTGGAGGATTCATCCAACTAATCCCGCAATGCTGCAACTGGTTGCTTTATATTTAAGCACAGTTGGGTTTTTTGTGGGTGGTTGTTTGTTTGGTTTTTTTTTTCCCTAAGAAATAAAAGTCAGTTTGGCTTCACTGGGCTCTCAAAATGGGTCAGACTGTCACAAGGACCCACTTATTTTTTTTTTTTATGTTTGGGTGGTTAATACAGGAAAATAGGCCACATTAATGGGCTCCGCGTATTAATGGATGCACTTAGTTTGGGAGAGGTCTGTGCACGCATTAGGGCTCGGCAGCGTCTGGCGTAATTTTGGGTGGATGTGCTGCGAAGGTGCTATGCTATCGCTGTACCTGTGGCACTCCGTCATTTTGTGTTTTGCCCGTGCGGGCATCCCATCCAGGCAGCAGCTTTGCATCTGACAGCGACTCTAATGAGAGACATTCTGACAGGTTGGATTGATTTAATTGATTTAATAATCAATTTAAATCTAGTTCTTGGTTATTTTTCTAAGGAAAGGTTGATTTTCATTGGTTAGTAGCCATTAAAATATGTTCATTTGCAGTAAATATAGCCTTAATAGTAAATTTAGTTCTTCCTTTTGCTAATCAGATACACAATGCCTGTCCATGTTTACTTAATTATGTAGTTTAACCTAGTTTATTCACATTCTTAATTTTTACATTTGAATCAGGCTAGAAAACAGCAAATGAAACATTTCTTCTGTGTTAGACTATTAGTTGTTTTGTTTTCTCTTGTGCCTGAGTACATCTGAATGGAAATCAGAATTTACTTTTTAAAAAAAATCCTTACAAGTAAATTTTCAAACACTTCTTAAAAATAAATTAAAACCTCATCATAAATATGATGAGTTTGAATTTGGAAGGGAAAAAATAAATAGAATTTTCTTTGTATTTATGAATACCACACTACTTAAAGGAGATGATGTCTGGCACATTCAGGTAGTCAACTTTCCTGCTCAAGTTTTGTGAACAAAATCAAGGATTTTAGGAGCAAATTGAAGGAGCAACTGGAGAAAGATGAGGCCCAAACGTAGGCTTTAGTTCTGTCGTTAAGCATTCAGCGTTTGAGAAAGTTTCCTCCTCTTTTCTCATGTTGTCCGTTGTCTACTCTGAGACTTGGGGCTTGCCCTTGGCTGCCAAAGAAGCACACTTCCCATGTTCCCGGCAAACTGAGAGTGGAAAGAACATACCGTGCGTTCAGCGACATAAATTATAGACAAGTGCGCATAATGCATTGCCATGATTTTCCCCACAAGGTTCTGCAGTATTCTTTGAATTTCACATCTTCTAAAAGCTATTCCTTCAGACATAGTGTGTAGTTATCACTCAGATACTTTAACTTTTTGCGGTGCTCCCATGCTACCAACATGGCTATCATATACAAAAGCACATGGACATTCTTTCCAGTTCCTCAGGATTTTAAAGCTAGTAGAGCTGTTGTTTCATACTTAATTTTTATCCTTTAGGAGTCCAAAGCTGGTCTAATACCTCAAAAGAATGGTTACAGGAGTTTACAGTGACTTACCTGCTCCGTGGTTTGACTTTCTAAAGAAAGTAG